TCAAGAGCGTTGAGCATCTTCTTCTACTAGGTTCCGAACACCAGAGGCTCCAAAGCATCCTGATTTCGGATTCAGAGAAGATGAATGCCATCTGTTTGAGTCCGGAAATTGTTGCACAGTGGACAAGTGTTGTGGAAAGTAACAATGGAGAGGATGCAACCATTCTGGTGAGCATTGCTCTGGAACCAGAAGATATCCTGAGCCAAAGTTTCACTTCTGTTCTGGAGTTGCGGCCTGGATGAATGGTTAAATAGTTTCAACCTGTTAATAGTGTTGATAGGTAGGAAGTCTTGTTAATTCTTGCGAAAAAAGAAACACAAAGGCATTGCGGTTCTTGCATTCTTGATTCTACATTGCTTCTTTTTATTTTTAGAATTTTGATGATTGATAAAGAAATTAACAATTTTCACAGAGTGTTTGAAACAAGAATCATTTAAAACTTTTAAAATAGGTTTGTGAATATAATTCAGGGGAAAACTTTTGTTTTCATGATACAACATCTACTGGCAAAATAACCAAACCAGAAAGGTGACAAAAGCTCCCTTTATCCTTCTGTTCCGAGTTCTCTTCAGATTCTGTAAAATTCTAGCATTTCATCTTCCACAGGATGTGTCTTGCCTACTATGACAAGGCAGTGCAGAGGTTTGCCGAAATCAACAGTCAGGAGCTGCTTCATTGTGCCTGCAACTATCATCTGATCCTCACTTCCTAACCGAGCAAATCCAACACAGTCTGTATCTTCATTGTATGCTGCATGCAAATGGATATAGAAATATAGAATTATAACCAATCTTTGATAGTCTTCTTCAACCTTGAAATTGGAAAAAGCATGCACAATGTCAAAATATTCAATGTTTTTGATCCTTACCAGATTCTCCATGTTTCTCTACTACTTCTAAAAGCTGCTCAATGGCTGTATTTATTGTCATGAACCTGGGGGGTTCATATTGTTTCTTTCCCCTGCAAATGGTCATGGGGTGAAACAAGTCAAAGTAAACTTTCAAAGCAACAGTGAAAATGTCAAACAGTATAAACACAAAACGGTGGCAAGTTTTTTTTGTAGAAGAATATACACCTGCGCAAAGAATCCAATCAGGGTTCTTTCACACGAATATGTGCGTGACAAAATGAATACATATGATTAAGTTAAAATAAGCAACAAGCCTAATACAGATTTCACAGAGCTTCTATTTGTACTCTACTTATTTTTTCTAGATCCAAGACCATGAATTTGACAATCCCGCTTTTCAATAAAAAAAAAATATATATATGATGATTTAGAGATAACTTTAACAGAGCAAAACTTGTCGCTGGCTTATGGTGAGTAGCAACTGTTGATACCATAATAGAATTTGGAAAGACAACAAACCTTAGGTAAAATTACTGACTGCAGAATATGGTTTATGAGCAGTAGACTCACCTAACAAGCAGTGTGTATGCAAACCGAGCTCGAGATTTCTTTGAATTTTCTCATAAAAGCTATCAGGCCTCCATGTTTCAGTTAAAAAGGGTATTGAAACAGTCTCTCCATAGTGGTAGAGTTGCAACCCACAAATTCCAATCACATTCATCACTGATGCATTATGTACTACCTTGACATCAACCCCTAGTTTCTTTGCTCGAACAACTAGAACAGTATGTGTTGTGGCTCTACATTCCAAATCAAAGAGTAAAGAAAAGAGGAATAAACTGATCAAAAGAAATCAAAAAACAGAATTTTCCTATTTCTTTCCTCCCTTCTGGTGGATAAAGACCATAAACCCACTAAACGATAATGCAACAAATCTCCATACCTCAATAATGTCACCACCTTGACAATTTACCAGTTCATGTGAAAATTTATTATGTTTATTAACGATCATATTACATTTCCATCCATAACAGTTTCAGTAGCTTTAATTCCCTACATAAAAGCTTTCCTCAGTAGGGTAAGCCCACATGTAACAGCAAAAAATTTCAATAGCTTGTATAAACCAAATGTCTTCTGAAGATATTCAAGAATTCCAACCAAATATTTACATCTATATCTAACAAGAATTCCAACCAAATATTTACATCTATATCTAACAAGAATTCATAAAACAATTAAGAAAAACTATACCAATGCGAGATTAACATTGCTCAAGCCTAAAAAGAATAAGAAATTTTGGAATACCCAAAAGGATCCCCTACAACAAGGAAAGCCATATCAGATCCGAGAGCCACTGAGAGAATACTGTCTGCCTTTTCTTCGACCATTTCTCTATCTGCAAGTATAACTGGTTTTCCAAACAACATTTCCTGTAAATCATAAATCAAAGAACAAGGCACTTCAAGTGAATCAACGATAACAGAAGGGTACAGAAGAAAGCATTAAGGTAAGAGGAAAATATAGGGGAACTTATCATACCAATGTGGAAAGACCATCTTGAGAAATTCCAAAACATGGAAGAGACGTATAAGCCTCTATGAACACCTTCTCGCATTTTTTCAATACATCTAAACCTCTCAGAGTTATGTCCCTCTCATCCCCCAATCCCAAACCTACAATGTACAGCATCTCTCCACCAAAACTGGAATGATCCAATAAACAAAAACCGCAAAAGAAACATCAATTGCTAAAGCGGAAGTGCCAAAGTCTCAACCTTTGTGCTTGTGAACCACTCTAAGCGGGCATAATGAGCAAATTCCAAGAGTAGTAAACATGGATATGAATCCGAAAAACAGTTCATTCCATCAAATAATTATCAGTATGAGGCAAACACTGATTAAGAGTGGAAAATGGGTAAGAAGAGATTAAGAGAAAACTGCTTACTAATTGACTTAGAAGGAGGTGGAATCGGCGGGGAGGATAAGCTAACGGAGGACGGGAAAATGTTGCCGGGGAGAAGAGAGAGTCTTGAACGCCGGCCGGCACAGGTCACCAGCCTACGGCGAGGTGCGGGAGAACGCCGGCTGCTTCACTTATTTAATGGGCCTGGGTTTTGAGTCTCGTTTTTTTCAGTTAGGGATAGACCCGATTCACTTTTTGTCCAAAAGGAAAGAATCGAAAGATTATGGCGTTGGTTCTGGCCCAAGACATGACCCGGTCCAAAAATATTTACTCCTCCAAACGGCCTTTCTCTTTTATCTTGAGATCATAGGAGTGATGTTTTTTTGGCAAAGACTTTGCCTATTTCTTGTTTTGTATTTGAGATTTATTATTTCACATTCTTCTGTGGAAGGTACCATTAGTATTAGAGATTATGTATGTTTGCTTTAAACCAATACAATCAATGAACCAATGATTTGGCTATCTTGTCGATTTAAACTTTTTTTTATTTATCAAAATTGTATATCAATATCAATTCTTAAAATTTGAATAATACTATAATTCAAATGACCTTATCTTAGGTGTTCAAGCAACTTGAATTTTGGTTTTTATTATTTTGCAACATGAGTTTATTTTTTTATAAGATCGATTGTTTAGTTATAATGGTTTTTTTTTGTTAAAATACTAATTTGGTCCCTTAACTTTTTGATTTATATTAAAATTATCCATTAACTTTAAAAAATCCAAAATTATCCCTACGTTTTAATTTATGGTACTAAAATAGTCCTCAAACTTTGAAGATAATACTAATTTAGTTTTTAAACTTTGAAAACAAGTACCGAGTTAATTCTTGGATAATTCTTGAACTTTGATAATAAATACCAATTTAGTCTTTTAATTTTGATTA